AGTATACAAGTAACGATCATTATAAAAGCCCCGTCGAGGAAAAATCAACAAGAATCACGCTTCTCGATCCCCTCGGAGAGCCTCGAACGCTGTATATACATATATAGAAGTATAATTATACCATTCAAAAATATCGGAAGAGAAAACGAAGAAAACGAAAGAAGCTCAGAAGCTGGTCGTATCGAGTCAAGTCAATGTTCGTTTTTTTTCTCTTTTCTAATAAGTTTTCAGCTAATAAAAACGAACAATCTAATCTCCTCCATCTCTCCTGTTGTCCGGTGTATAAGACGAGACTGTTTGATTTAAAAGTTCATTTGTGAAAAAAAAAAAAAAAAAAAAAAAAATTTATTCAAACGTCAAAAATTATACCTCTTTCCTGATCTCGTTCCATTAGTGATCAAAAGTTTTCTCAACAGAGAGCCCGTACAGGAAAAAAAAAGAAAAACGTTTTTTTTTCCCAAGCGATTGTCCTACGCGTCGCGTACAAAAGTGGCCACCGTTTTTCATTTTTTCTCTCTTTTCTAATAAGTTATCAGCTAATAAAAACGAACAATCTAATCTCCTCCCTCTCATCTGTTATCCGGCGTTAAAGACGAGACTGTTTGATTTAAAAGATCATTTGTGAAAAAAAAAAAAAAAAAAAAAGAATTTATTCAAACGTCAAAAATTATACCTCTTTCCTGATCTCGTTCCATTAGTGATCAAAAGTTTTCCCAACAGAGAGCCCGTACAGGAAAAAAAAGAAAAACGTTTTTTTTTCCTAAGCGATCTGCACACGCCCAATGTATAGTTTTTGCAAAAAGAGCGAGTTCCAACGTCAATCGTACGTGAAAACGGTAAAAAAAATCAATTGGGACTCCAAAGGGCCATCTACAAGAAAAAGTTGTAAAAAGTATGACGTTGTTATTATACCGCGAAAACATTAGAGCAAATAGAATCGCGTGCTCGCGGTCGAAGAGGAAACGAGCTCTGGGTAAAAAAAAAAAAAAAAAAATGGTTGGCTTTTGAGAAAACGAGAGATGCCGGAAAGCACGCGCGTGGCTGGGAAAAAAAAGAGGAGCTGGTCAAATCGAGAAAGAAGGAGCCAAAAAAAGAAAAAAAATGACAAAGGGGGTGTATTTAGGCGTGTATTGTACAGAGATGGGCAGCCAAGGAAGCCTTTGCCGGGATGCCGCCAGTCAACTTTTAGCATCCGCTCTAAAGTCGGTTTTCACCCAAGTGCGTTTTTTTTTTTACCCTACCCTCTCACAAAAGTAGCAGCAACGGCAGCCCCGTGCAAGAATGGCACTTGCGACTCCAAGGTTTGTATACACGTATGCCTATGTGATGGTACCGAAACAATAACTCGGACGCCCCTCGACTCACGCGCGACCTATTTTTTTTCCTACTTTTCTATTTCTTGCTTATTATGTACCTACAGCCCTTGTACGCGCGCTCGTACATTTATATACATAAACTCACTCGAGGCGAATCCACATTCTTTTTGTTATTGTAAATTACTCTGGCAACGTGGTGGGTCCCCTACTCTTTTTTTCTTCTTTCTCTAATTGTACCAACAGCTATATTGCCGCTAATACTGTTCTTCATCTCACCACCTTCTCCTTAAATTTGCGGTTATTACCGATTCACTGCAGTGAGTCGCACGTATTACATTGATTGTGAGTCTCCGAAAATTTCTTCGCGTTGCTCTAGTGGTGATTAAAAAAGATTTCATATAAGTCATTCTGAGTTTTTCAAAGACTTCAGCAGCGCCTCGGGTGAGGATATATATGACTATAGAAATATTTTTCAAGTAAAAAGGTTTTGCAGTAAATTAAATATAAAAAAAAAAAAAAAAAGAAAAAACCGGTGAGTGAGCGAATTTTCTTCCCTCTCTCCTATATATATATACTTTTACCTTCTATCTGTACTACTCTTGCAAAGAGAGCCAGGAAAGCTCAAGGCAATAAATCATATCCAGCGAACGAGCCAAAGAGATGACAGATAAGGTGGGTGCTGTGGTGGTGGTGGTATACGTATATATAGACTAATATCAAACTTTGATTTACCTTCGATCCCCCCCCCTCTCTCTCTCCCTTACTTTTCGAAGCACCTGCAGGCGAGACAATTGCCGAGTTTCTGTCGAATGTGTATATACTTTGAAATTGTCTTTTTCCAAAACCATACTTTTCACTTCCCTTTATCGTCTCTTCTTCCTCTGATTTCTCAGAGTATTGGCATAGGTACGAAGTAAAACATGTAGTCATTATTCCTTGTTTGTCTTTAATTATCATACTTGTACAATACAAATGTATAAAAGTGTATGCACTTGTCGACTTCGTATGATAATGTTTTCTCTTCCCCGAAATTCTCGTCATTACGATGGTAGGTAGAACAAATAAAGCCTCTCCAATCATTTTTTTTTTTTTTTTTCAATTTATGAAAAAATGCTTTTGACTCTGTCGTTCAGTGCACACAGTATACACCTAATTGAAAATTTGATACCTACTCACTTTGGAATTCTTCGTGGAAATTCGATATGCTCTCACAGGAATTCCAATCATGAACATATTTGTGATTAAATTTCCTTCGAGTACAAAATCATTCACTGATTTTATTGTAATAATAAATCTATATATGTATAAAAAAAAGGGGAAGAATTTTTCAAAGAATACCACTGTAATTTAATCGCATGCTCTGCTACGCTGGGCGACAAAAAAATACCTACATGCATTCCCCGTCGCGCAAAAAAAAAAAATATGTATCATAGGAGTACCCGCAGGTTATCCGCGTGGGGGAGAAAAAAAAAATTGGGAGCGAAATTAAACGAGCGAAAAGAAAAATCAAAAAAGCCGGAACGAAATTTCACGGAAAAGCGCGTCGATGTATATATGTACATGTATGATTTTTGTTTCACGCTCATCGCCCTTCCGCCAGCCTCCTGTACCCACGTAGCCCCGCCCCGACCGACAAATTGAAAGAGATGGTGGGAAAAAAAGGAGAGAAAACTAGTTGAAACAAGTTCTGCTCCGATAGTTCCAAAACCCTTCCGGATCGCTATCGCCATCCAACACCGTAGATGTACGAGTACCGGCTATTGGCAAAAAAAAAAATTTTTTTCTGTCACCCCTTGCCCCACCCTTCAACACGATAAATTGGTTTTTACTTTAACGCCATCACAGTATACGGGACATCATACGGATGCAAAAACGGTCATGCAGAATCAGGTAGAGACAATTTTTTTTTTTTTTTAGGTTTCATGCTCCGCGCCATGTATGGCTATTATACCACTACGCGATGAATAATGTAAATTCAACTTGTCACCAGGATAAAATTCAGCAGCTGACGCGACTCGTGTCCAAATACGATACGATTACTTTCGTAATCAACGCGAAACGCAGATAAGCGTTTGATAAAAAGCTACGAAATGGAAGTGTTTTTCGATCGAGTCTGACACGCGTGAAAAGGGCAGGGGGGTTTCGTTTGGAATTCAATGGCTCGCCACTTTTGGAGTCCGAATAATCGGAACGACCCTTCCTATGAAGCATATTCGACAAATTTCGTCGACGGATAACGTTTTTTCTTTTTTTTTTTTTTTTTTTTTTTTTTCATTGTCACGCGCGTGTCAAAGGAATTATTAGGCGAAAAAACGTATGCTGAATGTGCGATGAAAAAAAAAAAATTTTACGCCATGATTTAAAGTATATGAAAGAATTTTAGCGGAAGTGAAGGTGAAAAATGGAGAGTTGATGGTTCGAATATAAAGGATGTTAATGAAACAAAGGATACAATTTGCCGTTAAAATAGTAAGAAAAGTTAGGAATATTGTATTTTTATATGATACATGGTAGGCAAAATTAAACGTGTGGAGGACGGGTGAAAAAGAAAGAGGAAGGTATATTAGTGTACCTGTATGATATTTTTGGTCCAATAATGCTGTCTACAGGTAAATTAATAATGGATTTTTTGTAAAACCTAATACCTATAAATTTTAATTCATCGCGCGCCCCAGACACACAGTCGATAGAAACTTCGATAGACTGCCCTTGCATACATCTATATAATTACTCGTGCGCCTACACGTACGCATTAGAGTACACGTATATGTAATTTAGCTGATTAATCGTAATAAAAGGAGATGGGCGTGCACGCGTACTATCATCATCGTGATTCAAAAGTTCCATCAGATACCAAAGCCCAATGCCGGCAAGTCTGTGATGCGACGCGCGAGAGTACCTTGCGAGGAGAGAAAAACCAAACAGTAATTATAGGCATAGTGGCCTTTGCAGTGAACGCGTGTGTGACATCATCAATCGAAAAGCTCGGCAGTGTATCAATAGGCACCTGGCAAAGCTCCAACGTTTCGAGCAGAGGTCGCAACTTTTAATGGCTCGCCAACGCTGTGTCCATCACATATTTATAGATATAATTGAACTATACTTGGAATATCTATTCGCGTAAACCAAATAAATAATAATTATATTATGTATACATTGTTACGCAGATCTGGTGGATCAGCGTTTCTCTCGCGTTGCATTGTTTTACGGTGCGCGTCTCCATTTATCTCGGACTATGGAGTGCAGTAAAAGCGAGAAAGATTTTTTTCTTTTTTTTTTCGTGCACACTGCAGTCGAGCTGGCGATGAAATATAATTTAACTGTATACGTATACATGTGCACCTTTTTTTTGCAGTGGGAAAAAAAACATTTTCTCTCATGACCATAATACATATTCGTACGAGCTTTACCGCGTATATACATCAGGCCACCCGTGCGCGCTTTAATGTATGCACGTCCTATATTTCCCGTTGTAAATTTGTGGTTTCGAGTTGGGGCTTGACAGTAGTGGGAGGGGATGTGAAAAACATGAAAACTTACCTGTGGAAAAAAAAAAAAACGATCGACATGTTGTTCCATGTTAGGTGTATAAGGGTGGTTTTATTCCGTGAGAAATTTTTCAAACCGATTAAAATAGATAGAATAAAAAAAGCTTTTACTAACAAAGCGTATTGTCTGTCGTAGGACTCTTTCGGAACGTCGTGCTGCTGAGCGGCTCGGCGCTGAGTCCGTGGGCCGTGGTAAACGATCCGAATGATCTGCGGGTGCAGGTTGCCAAACAACTCGACTGCCGCTACGAGAACGACGAGGACATCGCCGAGTGCTTGAGGGCCGTTTCCCTCGAGGCCATACTCGACGTCGAACTCACCGAGATCAAGTACGCTGCGTATGCATTTACACCCTTACAATTACATCCTGATATGATTGATGAAATATCAAGGTTTTATTGAAAGTTTAACCATCGGATCGTTGCTAAATGTTTTCAAAGGTATATGGAAATTTTAGCAGATATACGGGGCTGAACGGTAATTTTAATCCAACCGTCGTCAATATCCTGGACACTTTACAAGACGTATATCTTTTCTTTTTTTTTTTTTTTTATCGTTCTAATTATTGTTGTGCGGAGAGATCGTTAAATTAGTTCCGAAGTTCCGAACTCGGTCTCGTGATTATTTTTATACCCATTTCGCCCGTTGGGAGTTTCAAAAAGATTTATCGAGCGCGAGAAGATAATTACTCCGGGACGGCTATACAAAACTTTCCTTCGTTTGAAAACGAAAAAAAAAAGAAGAGAGAGAAGAAAAATGTTCTTCGCCAAACAAAATGAAGGATCGTTTTTCAAGTTGCTTCCTTTCCAGATGGACCAGGGGACGAAAGTAGTTCTTTATTTAAGGCTAATTTGGCTTTAAGGCTTGGATTTATCAATCTGGAAAGTAACATTATAATCCAAACAATTTTTTAAGTTTTTTTTTCTTTATTGGTAAAACACTGAACTTGACCGTATGAAAGTCATGAAATTATCGCTCGGTCCGGAGAGAAAAAAAAAAAGGAAGGTTTTTTGAGGAAAAAAAGCTCCTCCCATTTGTATGGACGCGCCCATAGTCAAAGGCATCCATTTATCGCACCGATTCAAGCCGAATGGGCCTCATCCCGACAAAATTCACCACGAGCTATATATTCGCATTCGCACGTAGATTCATGCCGAGCATCGGACCGAGCCTGCCCGTGGACGGCAGTCAGCCAGACCCCGGTTTGGACATGGAACGGCTGAGCGACGCGTTCATAAAGGTACCGTTGATCCTCGGCGTGGCAAGCGCCGAGTCTTACCTCGACTTCAGCGCGAACGACATAGAGTTCGGCTTCGAGGAGGACCAGCGTAACCGGGTGCTGCGCACCTTCATACGCAACGCGTACGTCTACCACCTGAACGAGATATTCAGTGCGGTGAAGAACGAGTACACCGACTGGGACCGGCCGGTCCTCCATCCCATCAACATACGCGAGTCGACCATGGAGGCCCTCAGCGACGGGCACACGGTCGCCCCGCTCATGAGGGTCGCGTTCTATCACGCCCGACGCGGTGCCAGCACCTACTTTTTCCACTTCAACTACCAGAGCAAGGACAGCGACTATCCCCAGGTACGATACTCTTATTCGCATGTTTCAAAAGTTTGGACTATGTGGGACAAGCGTTTATAAAAAAAAAAAAAAAATTACATTCCTATGTGGAGCGGGGCCAGGGGTTATTGTCGAGGTGGTGGGGGTCGTAAATTTCAATACCCCGTCGGCCGTTTATTTCAAATTCAATAACTCGGACGTGAAAAGCCGGGCCGGAGAAAACATTGGAAACCCCCTTGCTTTCTTCTCTCCTTGTGTCCGGCCTAGGTATATACCTACCGTATGCATAATTCTCTCTTTTCCCTAATTTATGAAGGGAACCCGCTGAAAACTCGGGCGCATTCCCTTTTGTCTCTCTTTTTTTTTTTTACATCAGAAGGGCAAGAACGAGATATCTTTTTAGTGGGCGCGCGGAGAGAGAAAAAAAAAAGGGTGGAAGAAGACACCCGTAAGAGTTGGGTGGGAAAGTTCGAGGGTTGGCGGGTCGAGGGTTTTCCACCTTCCGGGCCAGACACGTGGAGAGCCGGAGGTGCTGGCGCTCGAAGTGATGGGAGAGGCCACTGGGGTGTGCACGCGAGAGAGAGAGAGAGACTTCCCTTTGTGCTCTTCCGCGGAGAGGCTCTTCAAGTTCCTTTCCCGTGTGCGCATACATCACACGTCTTTGCTATATATTTGTACACGTATATTATACGTAAAATGAACGAGGGGAGACACGTACATTCGATCCTTAGTTGGGGATCATCAGGTTGTACCCATATGAGTTTTTAAGGATTTACCGGGCAAATTTGGCTTTTGACATTTATTTTGACGCTTCAAGTAGAATTTTTTTTTGTTTCTTACCTGTTAGCTCATAAATATATTATGTCACATGTTTTTTTTTTTTCTTTTTTTTTTTTTCTTCTACAAAAGTTCATTGAGCTCAAAATGCGTTTTTAAAACAATTATAACAATTGGCAGAGTTTAAAAGATGCAAGCCCGTTCGATCTTTTTTAATTCAACGCGTCTCGATTTTTTCAAAAGTTCAAACAGTTTATTTTCCCATTTGTAATTCTGGTACTGATGTATACGTTTTTTTTCTGAGTTGACGTCGAAATGACGATGGCGAAAAGTTTTGACGTACTTGAAAAAAATTACGAAACTACAATCGCGCAGTAAGGCAGTAAGGCAAAAAAAAAAAAAAAAAAAAAAAAGCTTGAAACTCGATGCAGCAGGTAAAATTGAAAAGTCCAAACTTAATAACTCGTCAATTTCGCGTCTCGGAAATTTCTTCGCCAACAATAACAAGAAGCAGTGCCCTGCTGCAATTTACAAATAACGTGTCTCACTCAGTTGCGCGCTGTAAAATTGAAACCCCATCTTCCTGAAGCCAAGGAATTTTCCAAGGCTTGCAATTGCGTAAGGGAAAGAGATTTTTTTAAGGTATAACATAATACAATTCGCGCAAATTCCTTGCACTCGGTAATTCCACATCTTGGAAATTCCAAGGGACATCTCATCAAGACAGAGCAGCTGCAGACACGCTTCGTAATTAATTAGGAGACTTGTAGTACTTACTTCCTTTCATCATCATTCTGGAGTAATTTCCACGTCTGTTTAGTTCTGCATAGCCTTTTTTTATTTTTTTTTTTTTTTTTTTTTTTCTTCTNTCATATCTAATTATTTTTACTTTAAATTTGTAAGAAAATTTTATTTTGAGTTCTAAAACCTTATTTGTAACTTATTTGTCATCGAAAGTTTTTTCCCAAACTATGTTTTCTATTTCCTCATCGTTTTTAGGTTAAATTTGTATAAATCCTTTTTTTATTTTTTAATCTTGATATTGCAACATGTAATTGTCCATATGAAAATAAAGAATTTTTCAAGTTTAAACCCATGCTGTCGAAACTTTGACCTTGAGTTTTATTAATTGTCATAGGAAATGCTAAAACTAAAGGAAACTGCTTTCTGTACAAAATGAATGGTAGAAAAGATGTATTTTCAGAGTTTAATGTCATTTTTGGTACAAAAACTCTATTAACAATTTTATCTTCAGTTATTATTTCTGCTTCAATATTACACACTACTAATTTAGTGATTTTGATTCTTGTACCATTACATAAGCCGTCAGCTATGCTTAAATTTCGTATGAACATGACTATTGCTCCAATTTTTACATAAATTTCATGGAATAGTAGGCCCTTACAAATATTATTTAGAATCTAAGTTGTTAAATTAATGTTAATATTACTATCAGATTTATCAACACCTTTATGCGTTGCGTAATCGATGCTGAAATACGTTTTTGTACACCCCTTTATTTGATTCAGACCTTGAATTTTTTTTTTTTTTAATAAGTATATTTATTATGAAATGTTAGTATTACACTGTTTATTAAACAATCATTATTTCCAATGAAAATATTATCACAAACACTTTTTGTTTTTCATTGTACAGAGACGTTGAATGTCTTGATTTTTCTTCTCCGATCATCTATAGTAATTTTAAAAATTTTTCATCTTTTAATGGGATATTAACACTCAATTTGAGTATACCAAAGTGAGACCAAAAAAACGATGGTTTAGTAGTTTCTATAGTAATCATACTTCTATTACTATTTTTTATGACCGATAGAATTTGACGAAAATCTCCTCCTAAAATAAGTGTTTTATTTCCGTGTTGTATAGATTTTTTAAAGTTGTATCTATTATTTCTAGAGCCTTTCTTGAAATCATGGAAGCCTCATCCCAAATAAATGAATCAACTGTTCTAAATTTTCTTTTCTCTAATTCTGATTCTTAAAAAAATACTTTCAACATTGTTTAAATCTGATGGTAAATGAAAAGTTTTATGACTGGCCATTTCTTTAAGAAGTGAAATTGAGACAATACTAGTCTAAGCGATTGATAAAATTTTTTTATTCTGAGAAATAAAGTAATTTATCAATGTATTATATGAAAAGGTTTTACCTGATACTCCAGGATCATCTATAAAATAAATTTTATCGTTTGTTTCACAAATAGTCTTAAAAATCACTTTTTTGTCGTCATTCAACTGTATGTACATAAATTCAAACATGCGTTTACAGAATGCAATTTTCTCGATCTTATCATACTGCTTTTTTTTTTTTTTTTTTTTTTTTTTTACTGCGGATTTGACTACACCAGTCGTTTCATTTATTTGTGCGCAAACATTTCGCTGCGAAATTCCCCGCGTGTTGTAAAAATACTCTTTTGTTCCGATGACGCTCATTTGCATTTTGACGTTCCTCTACTATTTTCATCTCTCGTACTTTAATTATCTTCCAACTTTTTATTCCTACCCGATGCGAGTTGCCAAAATTCTGCTTTTGAAACGTATCACTGTTTGATGATACGTGCGTTCCTGTATGTACGACGGGATAATAGATGTGAAAAATTTTGGTGGAGCTGAATTACGTTAGCGTTTTCCATTTGTGCGGGTAAATTGGAAAATAAAAAGTTCCGTAAAAAAAGGTTCCCTTTTCTTGCCAAGATAACAGAGAAACATACGAGATGAATATAAGACCAAACGAAAAAAAAAATCGGCGAACCGATGATTAATCTCTTGATCGTCTTTCCCGACAACAGAGACTCGGCAGCGTCCGCGGCGAAGCAATCCCGTACATATTTGGCCTGCCACTGGTGTCCGGGGGCCGATTCTTCCCCCAGAACTACTCGCGAGCCGACCAGGGAGTCACCGAGGCGGTGCTGACCTTCTTCACGAATTTCGCGAAAACCGGCAACCCCAACGAGCCCCACAACATCGAGTCCGTCGATTACGGCACCGTCAAGGAGAAGACGCGCTACCGCGGCCTCACCTGGGACAAGTACGAGACCAGCACGCAGCAGTACCTCATGATCGGTAACTCGCCCTTACACCCGCACTCACCCCCCCCCCTTTCTCCAACAAACATTCATCTCTCTCCCTCTTCTCAATCGCCGTCAGCTTTGAAGCCCAAGATGAAAAACCACTACCGCGGCCACAAAATGGCATCCTGGTTGAATTTGGTGCCACAGCTCCATCAGCCCGCCGGGGACGACGTGTCGATGAGGCATCACCACTTTCGCGAAAAGGGCGACTTATTTTACGCTGGTAAGCCCATAGGCGATGCACCGCTATTTACCTATACCTGCAAAAAATGAAATCTTGAATTTGAAACAAATGTCAAATGAGACGTGTGTTGTGCATCCGCAGGACCGGTTCGGGACGAGTGGTACACCCCGATAACGTTGCCGGGGGTGGCGCGCACGGGCTCGACGTCGACGACGGCTTGCGCGACGACGAGCGACAACAGCGAGAACAGCGAGACGGAGAACAACGTCCTCGGCGAGAGCAAGGACGACGCGGAGCTGCTGCAGCGGCTGGCCTCGCGCCACTACTACAGCACGACGACGGCCCTCGCGATAACGGTCGGGGTCGGCTGCATCCTCCTCGTCCTGAACATGCTCATCTTCGCGGGCATCTACTACCAGCGCGACCGGGACAAGAAGCGCGCCTACGCCAACGACTCCACCTCTTCCACCGCCAATGGCCAGGAGATGAGCGTAGCCGCGAGCAGCGGTACCAGCACCTGCGGGTCCTCGAGCAAGCCCCTCGATCCGCCGCCCAGCTACACTACCCTGCCCAAGAGTCCCTCCTCCGTCCAGGACCACATGCAGGACGAGTGTGGCACGACCGAGCAGCAATTGGAGCGCAATCGCACCTTGACAAGGCCGAAGGAGCACCAGCAGGCGAAGCCGCCCCGTCCGCCTCAGAGGACCTCGAGCTCGCTGAGCACCGGTCCGAGCAGTACTCTCAAGAAACGCGTTCAAATCCAAGAGGACACGGTATAGCATTAGTGGTCGCCCCCTGAGGGCACCGTCGCGCGCGCGAAACGCGTCACCTTCGTCGATTCCCAGGACGCGATCGTCGAATCGCAGTTCTGAGGGAGCCGTGCACCACCACCGGCCCAGCCGAAGGCTTCTGGTGTACCAATACACACATGACACTGTATGTTGTACCGCACGCGAAACCAGCGCTCTTTTTGCTGCCGCGACGGCGGAATCTCTTTTGGCGCTTTTGTTTCGTAATGCCCCTTTTACGAGACGATGGTCGTTTTTTTTCTTTTTTTTTTTTTAAATTTATACTTTTGGAGGTCGATTTTCGGATAAAAGATAAATTGCAAACTTGCGGCAAGTAGCACAAACAATGTTAACTTTTTGTTTTATATTTGTAAGATTAGTTGCGGCTGGTTTATAATTGATTAAATGGCTCTAGGCGCTAAAACTCGGATTCAGAATTTTAGAGGCCACTTTTCGCGAAAAAAAGGAAGACCGATAGATAGCGCTGATCCAAATAATTATTACTACTTATAGAGCCATGTAATCGATTATAAACTAGCCGCAACTAATCTTATAGACATAGAAATTAAAGTTGACATTATCAGTGCTGTTTGTGGCAAGTTTTTTTTTTTTCTTTTCACCATGTCGATGTCAAAATGAAGGTCTTCAATTTCGATGACTACTCGAGTAACGTGGTGCATGGCAAAAATTTTTTTTTTTTTTTTTTTTTTTTTAACTTTTCCTCTGTGTGCACCGCGTTGTATTCGTCAAGAGGTGAAAAAGAACATTGAAAGGAAACATAATATACGAGTTCCAGAGTATGGGACGCAAGAAGAACATATTTATTGTGTATAAAGATAATAAAAATTATATAGTAATGAAACGCGTGTGCGACGTATAAATGAAAATTTTAATACTTAAGATATTGAAATTGCATTGAAAGAGTTATAACTTTGTTTTATAAGTATGTGGTAGAAAGTCATGAATTATCATAGTATATATGATTATATTGAAATGTTGATTAGTTATATATATTATTTACACCGCATGGGTGACAGAATGTATATTGAAACGAGTGGAAAATAAGTATACATGTACGATATATCTGTTAACTTGTACATTCGTTTTTTCACTTATGCATATATTTTTTTTTAGATATATGCTTCGTATTTGAGAGTATATCGAATTGTATGGTTACGAAACTTTCCATGTCTTTTGAGCTGTGAAAAATACACCGCTAAATAAACTAACAAATTACAAAAACATTGTTAGATTGAGATTACACTAACCTTGGCATGTTAGCATTGAAAAAAAAAAAAGAGGAAAATGCATTATCAGTAGTTTGTTTTTATATGCTATGGAAAATTTTCCAGAAACAAAGTTATGTGTACTGATGTAAAGTAACTTTTTTCAAAAGTAAACATGTCAACAGAACATGGTTTTTATTCATTTATAAAAAAGACCAACTAAAGAGACTTGCACAATCTGGTAGTTGCACACGGCAGCAAATATCTGACAAATATGACGAATATGTATTTGACGGTATTGCTGCTGAAATTTGACAGCTAGATTTAAGTTTACATAGATAAGATTTGTATGATTCGTGAATAGAATATATTAGAGTATGAAAAATTACAAAGTAATGTCATCAATAAATAGAAGAGTGTAACGAAAATCAAATGTTAATGACCTTTGACTGAACAAAAAATTTTTAATAAGAGGCGAAATTTTATCTTCAATCTTGTTAGTTACTTAGTCTCATTCATTTATATATTTCATTGTGAAACAAATAAAAAGCAATTTATAAATAATTAAAACGTTAATTATTTTTTGACGATTTGCTTGAAAATAAATTGTAAATTTTTTATGACAACACATCTGCTAAATGAAAAAACCATGTCTATATAAATAAATTTTATTATTTTAAGATGCTTTGACCTATTTATAACAGTAGTTGATATTAACTTATGAAAAATTCATAAAATATATCGAGTAGAAATTATCTTCATTACAGCGCGTTATAAATCTAAATATTAAAATATCTTAACAAAGAATCTGGAAGCATTGATCTCAACTTATCATCCAACGATTTCCTGATTTTCCATAGAACACTTGGAGGATATTTGAACTGCCAAATACCATTTCTATTTCTTTCTGCCCATTTCTGAGCTAGTTGCAATGACTTTTGATAACTTTTGACTTCTTTGTCAGTGGGTATAATATATTTTTCTTTTTCAACTGTAGCAAATCCAACTTTCAACAACTCTTTGCCAACAGATATTGATTCCTGCTAAAAGAGTGATTAATTGTAAGCATCTGTTAAGCATTATAACTTTTGAACCAAGTATACAATTTTGGTTTGATTATTACCTTATCTTTTTGTGGCACCATTACAATACAAGTTAAAAATTTATCATCTCTCGCAACTGGTAAGAATTTTATGTTCTGTCCTTTTACAACTGCTTGTAACCAGCTGAGACCTGATATCAAAATAAAAGTTAAAAATAAAAGGCATTGCACATTATGACCGTTGCATCATCATACCATTGCCTGTGACATTGACTCCTGATATTTTAACTGGTAAGTACTTGGGTGTACCTAGTCTTAGTATAGGAACTAAAGGTTTGTGATCGACTAAAAGATGTGGCTGTGGAGCAGGTTCAATGTTTTTCACTTTACCTTCCAGTAAAACTTTATTCTTGAAAAAATTTCGAGGCACCTGTGATGGCCTAGTAAACTTTGCAAACTAAAAAAAAATTGTACAAAATGTCCCAACAACATAATTAAGTATATACAGTAATTGATGACAATTTTTTTTTTCAGGTAGTTAACAATAAAGTAGTTATGTAACTTTACTATACTTACAGGCCTTATTTTGTATAACGCTGTTATCAATCCAATACCAGCAATCCCATAAGTGAGCATCTACAACGGCAAATTTGTGCTTAAGTATTTTTCATAAACAAAATAGTAAGAAGCTTTGTTTACATGGTGTACTCTATACATACATTTATATATATATATATGTGTGTGTGTGTGTACCTCTACTCCTCTGGAATCGCGCTCCATGAAAGCAGAAATATCTTCAAAAATATCAAGTTCTTTTTTCTCCTCCATAATTTTTCACTTATTTATCTCTACACTTAAACAATAACGCTTGATAAGTTACTCGCAACGGTGGTCACGTTTATAAAAATAAAAATGATGTGTTTTCATAGTGACTTAGGTACTAACATCACATGTTCGGTCGATGTTCTGCTCGTCTCTGAAATCTGAAACTCTCTTTTTTGCGCTGACAAACTTAACACCACACATAACCCACAAAAATAGCACAAGCAATGAAGCAATGTCAACTTTTTATTCTATATCTATAAGATTAGTTGCGGTTGGTTTATAATCGATCACAAGTAGTTAAAGTATAGTAATAATTTTTTGGGTCAGCGCCATCTAGCGGTCTTCATTTTTTCGCGAATAGTGGCCTCTAAAGTGAATCAGAGCTTTAGGTTAGGCCTAGAGCCTAGAGCTAGAGCCATTTAATCAATTATAAACCGTAAATAAGATCTCTGAACAGAACCTTTAAGTACCTATAGCGTTTACTTGGGTTGTATAGTTGTATCCTGCAAGTGTAACCTTGAGGTCAGAGAATCACAACCAAATCCAGACAGTCAAGTCAGTAGGTATCAGATCTCAGATCTTAAAGAGAGAGAGAGAGTACAGTAAGTGCTTGAATTTTAGATCGAATATATCTATCATGAGATCTTTATTTTAAACTTATGAATATCATTCAGTGCATGAATTATAGTATAAATAAATTTAATTAAAAGTGTTCTCCGAACAGTCCTCAATGTTCTAATTAAAAAATAGGCACAGCACAATTCGATACGCTCTAATTCTAATCGAGTGAACTTCGACATTAAGAGTATCATCTCTCATCACTCATCACTTATAAATCTTATTAGTAAAAAATAATACATACGCAAAAGGATTGTTTGCCTATTTATTTAACTTGTTTTACGTTAATATACTTGTGCTATTATACAGTTGTATACAACGTCGATGCGGCTTACGGATTTGCACAAGTGCAAAAGTGCAAGCATAGAGATATAAGAATATTGTATGAGTGCAAGTTGTAGTACCCCATCAATTAAGCTCTCAGATATAATTTAAATAGTTATCATACTCGGCAGCCAACATGCCAGCAATGGATTATACAGAACCTAACGAGAGACTGAAAGACCAGTCGAGATGCGCGAATCTACGAGCCGAGTTGAAAATGTGCCTATTAAAGAGTGATTGCTGTAAAGTGGTGAGATTTTTTTACTTAAACATAAGTATATACCCTTTTAACTTGTGGCTCGTGGTTTTGATGGCAAAGTTTTGCGTGATAAATCATCAGAAAAACAGTACATGTTTAGTGCTTGATTTATCTGCAAAATTATAATCTTAACCTACAAAATAATGCCAACGAACTAGTCTATTTAAATATCAGTTGGCTTTTACAATTTTGTTTTTTTTAGCATAAACATACACCTAGAGATTGCTTGAAACATTATTCTGATACTATACCTCATGAATGTAACTTGCTGAGGTATAGCTTCTTTGAGTGCAAAAGGTCTTTGGTAAGTTGAGCTTTTATTGAGAAAAAGTGTTTTGACTCATGGTGATCATTACATATGCAATTTGCGTAGATTGATGCAAGAAGGAGATTTCGAGGTCCAAGGCAGTGACTGCCTAATGACTGTGGAATTTGGTTGACTTGTATATAGGACATTGTTAAAAATTTTCAAATTAACTAAGGATAGTGAGAGACATTACCAAATGGATTGGGAAAAGAAGAAAAATCAATCGCTAACAGGCAGCAGTATCTGAAGTAATTTAGATTTATTTTTTACTTTTATTATATACAACTAAAGTATTATGTAATAAAGAATAGGCAAATTTGGCTTTTGACATTTATTTTGACGCTTCAAGTAGAATTTTTTTTTGTTTCTTACCTGTTAGCTCATAAATATATTATGTCACATGTTTTTTTTTTTTCTTTTTTTTTTTTTATTCTNAAAAAGCAAATGGCTCACCAAGCAGATGTAAATAGCAAATACAGTTTAAGAAATTCAGAAATGGTGCTCTAAATAATTTTTAGAAAATTTCCTCTTTTTTTTATTTTATTTTTTTATATTGTATGCAATCACAGTTGATGTTAATTGTAAGAGATTTTTCTCAATTATTTATACATATGTGCACGGCGTGAGAGCATGTCATGCACAAATCACAGCAAATGTTTTTCCTAACCAGGCAAAAGATAATTTTATGACTTAAGTGTCAAAGATACTATGTAACAAGATATTAAATTGCATCGCTTTTGTATCTTTAATTTAGGTATTAAACTATATTGTCTCCCTCGTCTTTCACTGCTTAGGCAACAAGCATAGATTTTATATTAATTTTGTACTACAATGCCAGAAATGTTTTATCTTTTTCATTTTACATATCTAATTTCTCTTTGTATCGTTTTGTATATTTAAAATAGTATCTTTCTTATTCCTCGCTAGAGATATCATTAGTTCCAAACTCACCATCAAGTACCTTTATCAACAAATCCATCTGAGGATTCTCGATTGAATCAAAGTCTTGCTAAGTTTATAGTAATAGTAATGGGTATTACTGGTTTACATGTTCCCGAAATTACGTCCCTAAGTGTAATATAATATGAACTCTTTGAAATTAAAAAGTAGAATATTCTACCCAACGCGAGTGAAGGTACTTCTAACGACAAATCATTCACGCACCAGCTCTCGCACTCTCGTGAACAAAAAGAGTTTAAGGCTTTTTCGCGCGTTTACAAGGAGGCGTCTCGCGAGCTATCACAGCTCGTCGAATCATGATATGTAAACCGTCGCGACGATACGTGCGTATATATATATAATATATGTGTGTGTGTGTGTGTGTGTACTCACGGTGTGTAAAAATTTGTCATTCGCTGCTTTGTATATTGAACGCGAAACCTGCTCTTTGTACGAATCAGCTGAATCGAGTTTTAATCGACGCAAACAATTGAAACGACAAATCATAAGGACATGATAGGTCTCTGAACTCCTGGGCGCCCGCGTCAAGTGCACCAGATACACGAGAGGCGCTTTATCCAGCGGACGGTTGCATTTTGCATGATATCGGTACACTAAGTACTACTTGAGTCTATATTAGTTGTGACGCGTCTAAAAGCACACCGAGGGCCTGTAGAGGCCGACGTAGCCGCAGAGCCTCGCTCTCAGAGCCGGCAGGAGTATCGCGGCGGCCGAGAGATTCTCCTGGAGCTGCGAACACTCGCAGATGAGCAAGTATGTCTTGTCACCCTGGGACATGGACTTGTGCAGCGTGATCCTTCTGAGGCCCACCGATTTCGGCAGATATCGGTATATCATTCGCGCACCTGCATCAGCGGCACACATGAAAATCGTGCACATGGAGCAAAGCATAATGTAAACACAAGTGCTCACCTGTCCAGTAGAGCCAGTTCTGCTCGAACTTGAGACCGTCGTCGCCCTCAAAGACCTTGAAGATCGAGACGAGGTAGCCGGTCGAGGGAACAGGCGGCCGGCCTCCCGGAGGCTCGAGAGGTGGCCTCGCGATCGTTGCCACCTCGTTAAAAAGCTCGAGGCTATGGTTCGCGATGTAGCGCAAGCTGCGCGGGTCGAACTTTTTCAGGGCGGCGCCCTGCACCTCCTGGTAAAACTCGAGCGGCTCCGTCTTTTGCTTGTTCAGCACGTAGTATCCGATGAACGGGAAATCGGCTGTGGGTCAACCGGTAAGTATGACATGAACCATCAACAGACACAATTAGTGTCGTGTTTATCGATGATAAATACCGTTTCGTTCCATGTTGGTCAGGAGAATGCTCTGGGAGGCGGAAGGCGAGATCTCGGAGAGCAGCTCGGCGGCCGTGTCGCGCTGCAGGACGAGAGGCTGGACGCCCACGGGCTCGACCAGGGGCTCGAGGGGCTCGAGGCTCGTCATGAAGTGAGCCAGGACGCACTGCTTCGGATCCTCGACCTCCAGCACCGACAGCGGACTGCCAGGCCTGCGCTTGTCGCTACTGCTCGCTCCGGCTGCCGCGGCCGCCGCCGCCGCTGCGGCGACCCTCTGCAATTCAACCCATTTTACTTGCGCATACTACAATACAACAACAACAACAACAACGACGACGACGACGACGACGATCTCTTACCGGCACACCGGCGGGCAGGAAGCGGTCCAACGAGGCCAGCGGTATGATGAAGCAGTCGCGATCGAGTTGCGCCAAGGAGATGGGCTCGCTGCGGCTGGGTGTGAAGGCGATCGGGCGCTGCTGGTGCTGGGAGCTTCTACCGCCGAAGGACACCTGTTGCTGTTGCATCGAGGACGAGGAGCGGGAACTGCAGGAGGCCGCCTGCCGGGGCTGTCCGGCGAGGGTCTGGGGAGTGGATGTCTGTTGTTGCCTGCCATGCTGGAGTTGCTCGTCGAGCTGGGGCTGGCTCTGCTTCCGTCTGCCCTGTTGCTGTTGCTGGTTGGTGGGTGAACCGCCCCACTTGACGAGCTGCTGGGGGTTGGCGGAGGTCCTCCGGGGCCCGAAACGCTCGGCTAGCTCCTCGGCCGAGGCAGGACCACCGCCTGTGTGCGCAGAGAACAACAAGTGAGTGCGGTAAGCGTGGCCGGCGCCGGATTCCTGCTCCTGGTGCTGCATAGGCTGGCCGGCGAGGTCCCTGCTGCGGCGCACGCCTAGAGCTCGGGGCTCCGGGCCGAAACCGCCGTTGTTGCCGCTACTGAGCTGAAGGCCGCCAAATCCCCCCGAGCCGAAGCCACCTCCTCCTCCGCCACCGCTGCCACCGCCACCGACGCTGGCCCCCGCGCCGCCCTTCTCCAAATTCCGGCGGAACTAATTCGACATGTCGTTACATTAGTACCTACATACACACGCTGTATACATTATACACTTTAATACATGTACATCATACCACTAACCATAAGATTCATCGTGAGGCGATGGTCTAGCTATATTGTTGATAGCGTCTCGGCAGTATCGTCATAATAATCAACGACAAAAACGACATATATACACGACACCCATGTAGCTGCTACGACGGGCTGCACCGGCGACTACATTTACTGCTACCCTGTTCGTGCGGCAACGGTAGCTGGGACCGTGACCGGGCCAGACCGAGCGGCAGAGCAAGGGTGGCCGGGGATAAGTCGTAGGGGCTCCGAGGCAGAGCGAAAGCGACGAAAGAGGCAGGAGTTGCTGTCGCTTTTTCGGGGCTGATGCCGCTGTAGCACCGCCACCACCGGCGACCGGACCCCAGGACTCGCATGGCACCGTCCGTTTTGTTACGTAACTTGGCTACTACTGGTCACACGCGTCCGAGGAAGGGACATTAGCTATACCTGATGACAGTAGGCCACCATAGCACCAGCCCAAATTCATGGGTCACCGTCATGGGAGGACAATAGGAGGGTAGCGCGCGAGACTTTTTCCTCGGCACAACTACTGTTTTCGCGATTGTCCACGAGTTTATACCCCCCTCGCGCAATCGACTCGTCGTCCTCGTCGTCGTCGTTATCAGCGCCAGTCGCAAGGTGCGCGTACGTACCGGCGTACAAGTGTTACGGGACGAGAGCCTTGGCTACGACTGTCACGAGAGGCGGCGTGTGTACACCTACAGTAGCACGAGAGAGTCGCGACCACCTCCCCACCCACTACGGGCCACCCCATTTCCATTCACTCCCTCTTTATCCCTCTCCTCTCATTCAGCCCCATACGCATCTACCTACCACCACCCATTCTGCACCTGCTCTCTATAATCCGCGTATACGTATACGAGTATGGCCTTGCTCCGGCTTGATGTGCGCGAACTAGCCCCCTCTCACCTCGACCTTTTTCCTCTCCATCACCCGCGCGAGTGACACTCGACTTTCTTCCTTCCGCCTACATGTAACGCGCACATTATACTTATAGCAGTGCATGTCACGGTTGCCGCACGTGTGTGCTATACGTGATGGTTTATTCAAGTTGTATATATTATATACACGCATATGTCATGTGCAACGTTGAGCAGCAAAGTTTATTTATGTACTTGTATGAGAACACGCTCGTTATATGTGGTCGCGTGTGTCTAGTTCAAGTATAGAAAAGATCGAGGACTGGCACAAAGTCCGAAGGAGATGTTGGACCATATCTTTGTTGGGTACCCAAAATATGTATACGCGCGTGTCTGAATTTTATGAGACTTTACTCGACTGCCAATAACAATAATGGCAAAATAGTTAATTTTAAATGAGACTTCCTAGTCTATACGTACGTATATATTATATGTATACTATAAGTGTACAGGCAGTCGTGCGCTACCAAATTGGAAACGACATTGACATTTATCAGCAAAGTTTAAGTTGTACCGGTAACTTTTATCGCGATTTTGTAAATCTAAATGGGGAGTTTCCGGTTCACCGTATAATTTATGCACTATACCCACTGTGCAGGGGTATACAAAGGAAGCTAATCGAATAAAGGAGAGGATGCTCGTGTGTATAATCGGTGGGTAATTTAAAAGCCCTAAACGCGCGAAAATCGTTTTGATAATCCACCCGTGCGTGTCTATAAGTGATAGATGGTCGGGCGCAAGCCTCCTCCGGACCGACGTTTAATTGAATCGTTAAAGCGATTTGATACTCGACGCGATTTGGCACGTATAAAGTTAACTATACGTGTATACAACATTTTGATGCATACTTATACAAGCGGTGTTTAGCTCGCCGAGAGTGACGATGAAAAGAGCAAAGTGCGCTATAACCGGTACATAGGTGTGAGTAGCAGTTGGCAATTTAAAAGTGTCGCATAGGAGGCAAACAAAAAGACTTGTCCGGAAAGTTTGTTTTTCGAACTGTAGCTGATGTGCATGTGCAGGCAAAAGTGCAGATATCTCGTGACGCGATCGGGAAATAAGAAAGAGGAGTGGGAAATTGGGCAGCCTTTATGGATATAGACAATGAGATCGATTCCTCTCTTTCTTGGCATTGTTCAATTACCATTCCGCTGTTTCTCGGTCCTACTTGTTTTTGGCGGGTCTCCGATTCTCGAAGCTAAAGTCCCGCGAAATTAAGTGGCATCGATACGCCGAATGTACACGCCAATACCCTGCGTTTTGGGACGCGATGCGCTTTTTTTTGTGCATGATAACAAGTATTAAACAATTATCGTCGCTCGCTCGCCTCGAGAGCCCCATCGTGCGGTCACGACCGTCGTAGCATCTTGTTATTTATATTACAACTATCAGGCTATATATGTACAGCGTTTGATGGCAGGGACTTGATTTTTTTTTTTTTTTTACTTTTAATTTGCAATCTCTTGCGGGACGACAAAGACAAACACGCACACTCGCACGCTTGTTAGCCACCACACATAAAATGTACATTTAAAGAGAAAAGAGGAAGAAACAGATAATGTATATAGGAAACAAGAGAACACAAAGATATATGTATAGTAGAGAGAGAGAGAGATAAACAGGTGTGTCAAAAGTTACGGTTCAATCACGATCGAGATCGGCAGTCCAGCGCGGCAGTGTCCCTCGGGCTTCCTTTTTTTTTTTTTTTTTTTTCTTCCCCTCACGTGTATACAGGAATCAACAAAAACTATACAACAGCAACGCGACTTTAGCAAAAGCTCGCGTGAGTTCGAACTAAGCGGTGCTTTTGACAAATAAGCTACTCTCGTGATGCGCTAGCAACGCTATGACGATGACGATGATGATGCCCCCTCCCTTGTCACTTTTAACTAATGGCAAAGAGGGGGCGGCGGCAACAACAACAATGACAACTGCATCAACGTGGACGCGGGACGAAGATACCCGTAACACTTATTATATACGTTGTGTACGTACATATAATGTTCTCCGCGAGGAGATATTATATATATATATACATGTGATTTAAAATGGACATAGTGCCGTTTTGGCATAAAAGTCGGATCGGCAGTACATATAGCAGTCATGTGCAGCAGCACAAAGTGGAAGAACTAAAGTTGTCTTGTCTTTATTTAGCCCAACGCGCGCTCGCGGTATATAAATAAATCAAGGCGCTCGTGTGTGTGTTTTTCACGAGTTTTGGCAAATACTATTATATACTTACAATTATATACATATACATGTTATCAGGTGAGGAAAAACAGGGGGAGGGGGAGTAGGGGTATAAATTTAACGGGCGGAAGAGCACCAAGTAATGATCAACGAGTCGCGAGATGCACCACGTGCTTCGCCCGCCTTGCGATCGTTGTAGCATAAATGCGTGTATGCATGTGCATATATATACAGAAGCGCGAGCGCAAACGAGGTGGATTTTTTTTTTCGCTCATTAGAGATAATTGGAATTTTTCCTATTTCTTTAATAATTTCGAGAGGGAGCTGTTAGCAGCGTAAAAAACCTCCCCCCCCCCTTCGTGATCGTCGCGATGAGGGATATAGTTGTTTTCCCTTCGCGGATGATTTGGCATAGTTGGGGCGGCGGTGGCGGCTGTGTTTACGAAAGAGAGAGGCTTCTCATTGAAATTGCAAATTATCCCGGTGCACGTGAGCCGCAGCAGGGGCAATTCGCATGGTTTTATTGCTCTCGACACTCCGTGCACCTGCTTGTAAAACTTTGGTGTATCGGGCCCCCCCAAGGGTGTAGGCGTCGCATTTCTGAAATGAGCAAAATCTAGACAGATTTATTTTCAAACTGCAGCCGAGTGTGTTGCCTGGAAGAGTTGGTGCATTATTAAAACTTCATCCAGCGGAGGAGGCTCACCTGTTTTCAGGGCTCGGTCGGTTGTGCCTATATTCATTTTTTTTTTTTTTTCCATATTTTTACCAGAGCAAAATGCCTAGTGTATGTATACTTACTTGACGTGCACGCAAAATCTGCCAGTCTAATCCAGGGTTGGTTATTTTCATCCGATTGAGCTCAAATTTTTGTTTTTACCAGAATTTCACGGGTTACGTTAAAAACCTCCCACCAGATGCACATATGCTCCAGTGTGGATAGGTCTGTTCCCCGGGACGCTACGTCCGCAGGATTTGAGTCCATCGGGACGGGTCTCCGCGAGCAGGAGAGCAGCAACTTTTGGGTTATTGTCACGTAATTGTCGATAAGCGAGTTGTTGGTGGGCTCTGACGATCGGGGCCAATGAAAAATCTGAGAGTCGCTCCAGGCATCACAGTCCTCGGGAAGAGCGGAATATTCCCCAGCAACCAAGCGCAGCAGTTTTGCAGCTTGCAGCTCCAGCTGAGGGATGATCATCCATGCCAGATGTGAGGCATCCGACTGTAACCCTTTCATGGAGGTCAGTTTAGTCTGGGCGATCAATAGACGTACGGTGACACCACCAGCCGGGTCTACGGTTTGCGAGTACATGACTGCTGCCATGGCACGACGGCTGGCATCCACATATGCATGGAGCTGAAGGTTGTCGTGTGGACGCCAGTTGATCCAGCGAGGAATGGTGATTTTGTAAACTTCCTGCAGTTAAGACAGGAATGTGTGCCATCGCTAGACCATGGGGGCTGGTACGAGTTTGTTCCAATCAATTCGAGCGCGCCAGAAATCTTGGATGATCATTTTCGCGACCAGAACGACGGGGACGATCCAGCCACAGGGATCGAAAAGACGGGCAAGAGTGGCGAGCATGGTGCACTTAGTCTGCTGCGGCTTGAAAGTAGGTGACGCGAGATGGAAAAGATCACCGATCGGATCCTAACTCACACCAAGCTCATCGACAAGGCCATCTACGCTGAGCTACCACCACGTCGGCTTGAGGCGAACGTCCGGATCGTGCAGTAGCTTTGGCTCGTTGGCGACCCTTTTTTCTCAGCAGGAAGCCTCCCACCCGCAGCAAGCCGATCAGTTGATCGCGAACGGTCTCGAACGGTCTTTTTTTGTTCAAAATAACCTAGAGACCACACTTTTCATCCGATCTTAAAATTTTTTTTTTAAACTAAAGCTAAGAAGATTTAGAAAAGATCTCTGGAAGCTGATTTTTATTTTTTNATGTATACGCGCGTGTCTGAATTTTATGAGACTTTACTCGACTGCCAATAACAATAATGGCAAAATAGTTAATTTTAAATGAGACTTCCTAGTCTATACGTACGTATATATTATATGTATACTATAAGTGTACAGGCAGTCGTGCGCTACCAAATTGGAAACGACATTGACATTTATCAGCAAAGTTTAAGTTGTACCGGTAACTTTTATCGCGATTTTGTAAATCTAAATGGGGAGTTTCCGGTTCACCGTATAATTTATGCACTATACCCACTGTGCAGGGGTATACAAAGGAAGCTAATCGAATAAAGGAGAGGATGCTCGTGTGTATAATCGGTGGGTAATTTAAAAGCCCTAAACGCGCGAAAATCGTTTTGATAATCCACCCGTGCGTGTCTATAAGTGATAGATGGTCGGGCGCAAGCCTCCTCCGGACCGACGTTTAATTGAATCGTTAAAGCGATTTGATACTCGACGCGATTTGGCACGTATAAAGTTAACTATACGTGTATACAACATTTTGATGCATACTTATACAAGCGGTGTTTAGCTCGCCGAGAGTGACGATGAAAAGAGCAAAGTGCGCTATAACCGGTACATAGGTGTGAGTAGCAGTTGGCAATTTAAAAGTGTCGCATAGGAGGCAAACAAAAAGACTTGTCCGGAAAGTTTGTTTTTCGAACTGTAGCTGATGTGCATGTGCAGGCAAAAGTGCAGATATCTCGTGACGCGATCGGGAAATAAGAAAGAGGAGTGGGAAATTGGGCAGCCTTTATGGATATAGACAATGAGATCGATTCCTCTCTTTCTTGGCATTGTTCAATTACCATTCCGCTGTTTCTCGGTCCTACTTGTTTTTGGCGGGTCTCCGATTCTCGAAGCTAAAGTCCCGCGAAATTAAGTGGCATCGATACGCCGAATGTACACGCCAATACCCTGCGTTTTGGGACGCGATGCGCTTTTTTTTGTGCATGATAACAAGTATTAAACAATTATCGTCGCTCGCTCGCCTCGAGAGCCCCATCGTGCGGTCACGACCGTCGTAGCATCTTGTTATTTATATTACAACTATCAGGCTATATATGTACAGCGTTTGATGGCAGGGACTTGATTTTTTTTTTTTTTTTACTTTTAATTTGCAATCTCTTGCGGGACGACAAAGACAAACACGCACACTCGCACGCTTGTTAGCCACCACACATAAAATGTACATTTAAAGAGAAAAGAGGAAGAAACAGATAATGTATATAGGAAACAAGAGAACACAAAGATATATGTATAGTAGAGAGAGAGAGAGATAAACAGGTGTGTCAAAAGTTACGGTTCAATCACGATCGAGATCGGCAGTCCAGCGCGGCAGTGTCCCTCGGGCTTCCTTTTTTTTTTTTTTTTTTTTCTTCCAAACGACTTACATGTATACATTAAATCTCGATACTTAGAACATACAATATTACTAAAAACGAATTTACATACAACTATTCAATGTATATTATTGTTCTGCGTGCGGAGACACCCGAGACATTGTTCACTTAACGCTTGATAGCGCGATATAATTATAGAAATTAATTTATACATACATCGAGCACTCGAATACGTTCTATACATCTTTAATACGTCAACGCGAAGACGCGATAATTTGCGGCCAGCGACATCGTATAAATATATATATATATACACACACATTCGAAAGTGTATACGTAAGGCGGATGGTATATTATAATAATAGGTTTCGACGTGTCTGCACACACAAGCACACATATAAAGGCACATGTAAAATGTAACAAGACTTATGACGCTTAAACTTATATGTATATGTACGACTTATCTAACACAGACACACATATAGCGCACGTCGCGTAACGTTAAGTTGCACAAATCGAGCGACTATACTATAACTATATATATAAGTGCATTTCACATATACAGCATAATATTATGTACACGCTTAAAATCAACAATGTGAAACAACGTGTCACGATCGTGTCTTTTTATCTTTACACAACTACTGATTCTTAAGAAAATAAAAACAAAACAAAAAATTCCGCGTGTGACGCGCCTACCTACTTACTGTCAATCAAACGACGATACATTATAATACACGCGGTGAAAACCGCATAGTATTTTTATGAATAGGTATTACCTATTTCTATATGTATTTGTAATGGTAACTTTTACGTTTCACTTGAAATATTTTTTTCACTCTTGGCGAAGCGTAAGTGGTACATGATTACGATAGGTGTTTGCAATCACCCACTGATTCGCCTTGCTTATATTACACGATTATTACCGTTACACATACATACGCATGGATATTATTTATATAGGGTTACAAGTCATATATAGTTACGCTGCAGTAACGTATATTATAATATGTATTATGGCGAGTAAAAGAGATCGGTCGTGCTCTTCGGACTCCCAGCTCTTTCAAAACTTATATTTTCACGACGCGATTTTGAGTATATTTTTTATAGTACCTAGTAGAAAATACAATAATAATAATATTAATCTAGTTACCCTGCAATCCAATGTTAAAATATCAGACGGACGGCTGTGTGACTGGTACTTTTTTTTTAATCATACGCAAATTTGTAACGTACACAATATTCACATCGATCTGCATTACTTCTTATCAAATGTGTTGATTCCTTGTGAAATTGTTTTTCTGACCGTGGCCAGCTATACAACTTATTAACCAACGACATTTTCATTCGAAATTTCTTATTCACGGAATATTGTAACCCAGCAAAGGGTCCATCTGTCTGTACAAAACGACTCGCAATAGCAAAATCGGTATATAAAATTATCCAACAAAACGACACCTGCGCAAGATATATGCTGCAAAACAGTGCTATTTATACATATATAACACATGTATGTATATTATATAGTATATAGGAAAGTATCGCAGTGACTAATGGCACTTGGAATTCGTAAATAACGATATTGAGTACATGTATAACATTCATAATCACCATCGCAATCAACATCAGATTGATCAGCGAGATCTCATAAGGCATACATATTTATATACGTGGCACATTTGTTTATCCAAATTTCGATATCACTGATGATTTAATGGAAGAAAAAAAAACACATTCTTATCACGAGGTTAAAATTCAACGGGACCTATTTTACAAAATATTCTCTTGTATATCTGGGACTTGTTGCGTTAGCGACGCGCTTTTATACAAAGCTACAGCGTGTAAACGATGGCACTCAATCGTACACGCGTACAAAGCAGTTTTTTTTTTTTTTTTTCTTTTTCTTCTTTTTTTTTCTCTCTCATACTTACCTACCACTGTCATGCACACAAAATCAACAAAAACAAGGAGAAAAAAAAATAGTAACAAAGTAATCACGATTTCGCGGGCTTGAAAGCTTCCTGATCGCTTTCCTTCTCCTTTTCGGACAAATTGAGCCGGTTCAGCGGGTAACATATAACGGCCGAGATGACGATGAGTATCCCGGCAAAGTAGAACGACGCGTCGTAACTGCCGGTCATGTCCTTGAGGGCACCTGTGTGACGGGGAAACAACGAAAAAAAAAAAAAAAAAAATCATCATCAATTCATTAACATCGGCTACAGCCCCGACGATCGGAATATAATAAGTATATATGTATATTTGTATTTGGGGAGTAATTTTACCAGCAAGAGGCGCGCCCACGGTGGCGCCCACGCCCTGGAACAGAAGTACGAGGCCAAAGGCATTGGTCAGTTTCTCGAGGCCCAACAGCTCGACGATTATCAGCGACCTTAGTGCGGCAAACACGGCTGAAAACACACGCGGGCAAACAGAGACATTTAAAATTGGCCAATGTATAACGTGTATATATATATATGTGGGCGCGTGTGTACCTATACGTAGTTTGGTAGTGTTTACACGCTGTAATTTACGAGCGGCAATTGCTCGGGAGTTTTTCAAATGACGAGAGAGAGAGAGAGAGAGAGAGCCGCGCGCAAATATACAGCTGCTACTCGTTATTTCTTAATTTGCGCAACGATCCGATCCGTCTTATCTCTCTCTCTCTCTCGGGCAAAGAGCGACGGGGAGACGCCGGCGACGAAGGGGCAGCGGGGCGCAATTTTCTTCCACGCGAACGACTACCGCTCGGATGTGAAAGATATGTTTTAATTGAGGCCATCGAGCCACGCGCTCTCGGCAACTTTGACGTGTAAGTATACCTATCCACCTACATTGCACATACATATAGGTCTTTGCGGTGTTTACGCGGTGCAACTCGAGCGGATGTAATACATATAATAGCCATGAACTCACAGACGCTGAGGCCAAAGGCCGCGGAGAAGAAGAATTGGTACTCCTTGGTCATGGAGAAACCGGAGAACATGGTGAGGAGGCCGCTGAGGGTGATGAACACGTTGTTGACCACGAGGGCGTTGATGCCCGGTAGACTGACGACCCCGCCAAACACCAAACGGCCGATGACGTTGCCGATACCGATTATCGACACCAGGAACATGGCGCTGTTCGAGTCGACTCCCGACTCGAGGGCTCGGTCTGCCAAAATCATGCAAAACAATATCATCATGATATATATATATATAAACGTCGAGGGCGAACGACTAATGTTGGCTCGCTTAGCACCCACCCTTGACGAAAACGAAGGGCGTGTAGAAGCCCATCATCGTCAAACAGCCGCTTATCGACAGAATGACGAAGCTCGGCTTTTTGAGCAAACTTATGTCGAGCATCGTCGTGAGGATCCTCTTGACGCTCTCGGGGCAAAAGTTGAAGCTCCTGCCCTCCTCCTCCTCGGCCAGATCCTGGGCGGTCGGTAGTCTGGTGACCGACATGTGGTAGCCCACCGAAGACGGCTGAAACACGTGTTATTGTAAAGGTAACGTCGAAAGATCACCCATGTCCAAATGTGTATACGCATTAATTTATGTTTACCTGAGATCTGTAGTGGGGCAGTCTGTTGAGGGAGCCGCCGTAAAATATGTCGTCCCTGTAGAAGGGCCTCTGCGTGTCCCGGGAGCCGCGACGCTTGTCCAGCTGCTTGAACGATTTGTGGCTGGTCACCGAGTCGGCCCGACTGCGCCGAGTGCTCATCGTGTGTCTGCGTATCTGCAATGGACCATCGAGACGATGAATCAACGTACCTATACCTACTCTGTTTTTCGATCCTATGTACAATTATGCGTATAGGTGAAACGTACGGTGGGTACTTTGCCGTTGAGTCGTTCCGCGTCGCCGTCGAGCAGGTTGTTCTCCTCCTCGAGCTTGAGCTCCTCGTCGGTGGTCAGCCGGAGCTCGGGGTAAATGGGCACCGAGAGCTGCTTCTCCGAGGTGCTCACTTGTCTCTCGATGACGTACACCTCTTGGATCCTGTGCAACGAGTGCAGCGACTTGCTTGTACCGCTGGTGGAAAACAACCCCCAAAAAAAATAGAGAGGACCGTCAAACTCGTGTTCGAATCACAATCGAAAGATTATAGGGTATAAACATGTACGTTGACACCTACTTTATGATGTTGGGGTTACTGTCGCGTATGGCCTCGCCGGCGGTTGGATAGTCGGCGTTGTTGTTGGTCCCGAGTAACCGGCCGGCGGTGGTCGTCGCAGTCGTCGTAGCCGTCGTTTGTACATGGATGTCCGCGTCCTTGGGTATCTTGACTCTCGTTGGCTTTACCGGCTTGAACGTCATTCCAAATATCGCGCAGTTCAACAGCAGACCTAAACACAAGGTGATTTTTTTTTATTTTTTTTTTTTTTCTTCTCGATATGGAAACTACGATTAATGGATGCATCTCTTATTTGCAGTAGAGAGAGAAATGCGCGATAAGCGAGCAATAGTATAAATAAGTATTGCTAAGTGGGCCGCGGCATCGCGGTTGGGTTGTTTCCTCGAAACGTCGTGATATGCCTAATGTATGCGCATCCTTCTCGTTTTCTCGCAAATTTATCATCGTCTTTGTTCTTGCGATTATTACTTGCTTTGGTGGGGGATTTTCCGAGGGTCAACCAAATGTATAGTATATGTATATACTTAATGTGCGTTTCAAATCGATTTTCGTTTTTTTTTTTTTTTCCCCCAAGTGTAAAAATTAATTCCAGATCAAAGAGACAATGATGATGTCTATATACACGTGCGCGATAAGATATCATGTAGGTACCGGCAAATCAAATTATAAATTATATACGGCATGTTTGTCACTTGTTGACTTTCCTCAGTGACACGACCGTTAACGATTATATACACGTATACGCGCTTGATAGTTAACGAAAAAGGCTCTCACTTGAACACATAATACCTATATGTATACGTGTGTGTAATAATAGCTTAGTTATAACCAACCAATCTTATCGGTCAAAGTATAGAAATGATCCGTGATTACGATTTTTTTTTTTTTTTTCTCAATTCGGCTTGTTATTTACGCTATCGCTTTTATACATACCGATAATCGGCCGATTTATAACCTAATCGGTATACGTATGCGTACAGGTACGCAAAACGCGTGATTATCTTAATTGAAAAATACCCCGTGTGAGATTGTATATATAGGTAACGTGTCGCTAACACGTAGAGAGAGAGAGAGAGATTATGAGACGCGATTCTTGCAAATTTTTAATTAACAAAATAACCAGTTTTACGCCGATCGGTGCTTATCAAACACTCACTTACGTTGGTATACATACCTATTATTGCGTACGTATTTCAACAATGAGAATATACAGCAAAAGTCATGAATATGCTCATTTTATGTACTTATACATACGGTATATATGAATACAATTATACATATCATATATTATCTGCTCGTAGATAAGTAAAAAAAAAATGTGGGACAGTAACAAAATTGGTATATATATATATATTTTACATATTATGTGTATGGCGTACTAACCGCCTTGGCAGAGCATGGCCTTGCGCCATCCGTACTTCTCGATGAGTATGACGGCGATCGGTGACAGGACGAACGCACCGATTCCAGAACCGCACACGGATATCCCAGTCGCGAGGCCGCGCAACTTTTCAAAGTAGTAGCCCGCAGCTATCACCGCCGGGACGTATATCAAGCCGGCGCCGATGCCTCCTGCAAACGATTGAGCATAAAAATGAATCTTCAACAATTGTCATTTTTTATTGCAGCTTGGGTTGTTCTTCCGTCTGGGTATACTGGATATAGACTATGGAAAACAAAGAAAAAAAAAGAAAAAGAAAAAAAAGAGGTTTGTTTGACTCACCCAGTACACCGTAGGTCAAGCACATGACTTCGATGGAGGTGACAAAGTACGAGAGCACGAAAGCGAGGCTGGCTATGACGCTGCCGAGTATGGCGACCAAACGGAAGCCAAACTTGTTCGCCAGTGCCGAAACGAATGGTCCTGTCGGTATTCGTGCAGATCCGAAGAAAGCAAATTATTAGTTTTTTGTTTGGAGGAAAACAAAAGAAGACAAAAAGAGTCATACGTACCGGCTAAGAGATAGAAGCCCGTTTGGAGGGAGCCAGCGAGGGCGACCTTGGACGGCGACACTTGCAGGTCTTGGGACATTTCTTTGAGAAAAACGCCAAAGCTGAACATTATCCCGTCGACCACGAGGTTGCACATGAAGGACGCCGCGACGACCACCCAGCCCCAACCACCGTCGGGCGGCACGGACACCTCCACCTCCACGAAATCCTGCGCATTGTCAACATTTATTTATATTACACGTATCGATACAGTTTTTTTCCTTTTTTTTTTTTTTTGAGCTTCAAGCTTTTCAATGCTCAATCACGTGAGAGAAGGATAATTTGGGGAAAGGGTGACGCGTGAGAAATTATTTTTTGGCAAGAAAAAAAAAAAAAAATCAATCGACTTAATTCATTGTTATCGCTTTTTCTCTGTTTCTCACCATCGTCGTCGTCATTAGCGCCGCGCTTGGCATTTATTTGCTCATCGATCTCTCGATAGATACGCACCTACGTATTATACGTATTATGTAATGCACGCACAAAACTTGGCAGGGAGTACGAGGGAAACGATTATTAATTGTGATAGGGATCATCTTTGATTGAAAAAATGAAAAAAAAAAAAAAAAAAAAAAAAAAACCATTCACCTCCTTTTCACACTTTATGTGGTAAACGATGTGCGAAAAAATCGTGCAAACGTGTTACATACGAGTATGTGTTAACATCACATAAATCATACGATGGTTTAAAAGCCATCGCATCACGCGTCGTTTTTCGCTTTTAATTTTATTCAAAGAATCTGATCGTCGAGCTCTCGATATCTCAATGTGTCTCTCTGGTGTTATTTAAAGTTTATGGAGTGTCAGTGACATTGTAAAGTGAAAAATCATAAAGAAAAAAGATCGGCTTGTTTTGAAACCTTGGACTGTTGGTGAATCACGTCACCACGAAAAAAAAAAAAAAAAAAAAAAAATGGGAAAAAACGCAAACAAACATTAGGCAGCTACGTGAGACTCCTTATATTTCTATAGGATTTTTAAAGAAAAGTCACGGGCATATATTAAAATGTTTGTGCCTTTAATGGATGTCGGATTTTTTTCAGGGATTCAAACTACAGCTTCCATGGTCCTGAGCCTTTCGGAGCATAAGCCCCATGTACATAAGCACCTTAACTTCGGCGGGACAAAAATAGCGTTATGTAGCTGTGTAGTATAATTATATATGCGAAGGACACTGTAGTGTGTATATTGGTACAACTACTTTGGTACCCGTAAAATAGCCAATTTTCACGCGAAGCGATCTATGTAGTGACAATTGCAACAACAAAAAGAGAATTTGCACTTTTTTACACACTCCTTAAAAAAAACAGTGGAGTGCGAACAAAGAATATTTGCTACAGAAAAAAATGTAACGCCTGAGGTTTCACAATTTTTAAACGAAAATTAAACGTAATTTTTTTTTCGGTTTAAACTTGACAAGGCTGCCTTTTACAGTTTTCGATTAAAAGATAACAACCGTTGGATATATACTGAATTATCAGTAATAAACAATAATTTCCGAAATCAATTGATAAAGCCGGAAAAAAATTCAAAAAGCCTACGAACCTATTAAAACGTAGTTAGTTTGAAATTAAATATTAATGATAGTTTCGAATCGGCGTTAAAAAAAAAAAAAAACTATTTCTTTCTGAGTACAAATGAAAAAAAATTATATTGAATTCTCTACAAAACGTGGAAATGTACGGCATTAAAAAAGTGTGTCAAACGAACGAGTATCGATTAAAAGTTAATCTTTATTTTTTAAAGCTAAAAATCTTTGACGGAGGATAATAAATTCCTTTTCCCGTGTAAACAACTCGATTGGCAAAAACACTCTGAATCCATATGATTTGCACCAATACAAACCTAAATGGGGCGAACATCCATTACACACCATAAATACCTAACAGTAGTTTTCCTAGGGACTGAGGAGAGTATACCTAGTCTACGTGCGAGAGATATTTGAGAGGGAAAAGCTACACCGATCCCCGCATAGGGTCTTACCGATTATACATTTACTGAGCTTCAAGTTCATAGTTTCGAGAAATCCCAACGTGAGATCGAACAACTTGTAAGGTCGAAAATTAAATTTTTTTTTTCTTCACCAAACGACAAGAGTTTTTCCATAGCCATATGAGAATTTGCATGTATACTGCACGTAAATACAAACGCTATCATTTATATAATGTAATGCAGAAATAATATATTTCTACAAAAAAAAAAAATTTTATGTATGGTTTTCGTGCTTTGTAATTGTGAAACCCCTTCCTCTACCTTACATTCTTGAAAGTCGAAATAAGCCCCTCTTTATCCTCCTGTCTTTGCACGAGGTATAGTCATTATACTTGTATTCCCGCGTTGATCAAAGCGATTACGATAATTGCTTTTTTTTCCAGAACCCCGAAAATGAAGTTTACATCCGAATCGAAGTGTATTTCGGTATCATAAGTGCCGTCGTTGCTTCCTGTCACATTTTCACGTGCACGTGAACGAAACCTCTTCAAAGTCCCGTGAGCGATCGTAAAACAATATATCAGTATGCATAATGTGCTTTCTAGCGATTAGATGGACATTAAAATGTAATTTGGGAGTTACCCGAAATTTTCAATTAGGTGGAGAAAAAAAAAAAAAAAAAAAACACGAGACTTCAACAATGAATCTATGTGAATATATTAAGTATGATACGTAGGAGGGGATACCTTGATCGGTAAGGTAAATCGAAACGAATGACGCTCCAACCCTGAAAAAAAGGAGCGCGCGCGCGAATGTTTTACATCGAACGAGAGGCCAGCAACTATGTGCCAGCCGCACCGAGTTGATTTGAAATGTAAAAGACCGTGGATCGTGGCATATGTGACACTGATACAATGTTTTTTTTTTTTTTTTTTTTTTTTTTTTTCCACAAATCACAATCAATACACGAATCTCAAAGGTATATATACGGACGAAAGCATCGTACCTCCTCGGCCGTATCGTTGGTATCGTTGAGGGCGATGTGCTCCTTGACGGACTGGCCGTTCTGCTGTTGTTTCAACGGAGTGCCGCAATCCTCGTCTTTACTTGTCGTTTCAGCGATCGCCATGGCTCCGGCAGTTCCTTCCCAACTGCAACGAGAACAAATGCCGTTTGATAATGACCACTATACTATGTATAATTGCACACTGCTTACAAAAATATAGCGAAAAGATCGGCAAACGGATCGAGTGAGCGATTCGTCTCTCCGCCGACCAAGTGTGTAATATATACACACATCATGTGAGCTGCGATCTCGCTGCAGCCGCGTTTAGATGTATACCTACACGCGATGCTGCCTTATCGCGTTTGACACGTATGTGTGTTTGGGGGAGGGGGTTACACTTATCTCCTCGAAATATGTGCATCGAGTACACATAAATTCACGCAGACGTCAACGTGTAACACATGTTACAGCGAGATAACGCGAGATGCTGTTGCATCTCGTTGTCGATTTGAAATGGAAAACGAGGAGAGAAGAGGAATATGGGTCGATCGAGAGAGAGAGAGAGAGAGAGAGAGAAGAAGAAAAAACAATGAGTATGAGGTTGATGGAATAAAAAGGAGCAACGCCTATCGGACATGTATGCCCGTGTGGTCTCTCTCTCTCCTCTCGCGGAATCGGCACCCACGGGTCTACTATTAATCTCCGCGACTCAAACGGGGGTCAAAATTTCGCGATGTACAAGTACTTTGCAATTACAAACGCGAGCGTATTACATTTATACCAAATGCCTCTCCATACGATTTCTCTCTTCGTTTGAATGTTTTCGCGCTAAAGTCCGGATGTTTCAAGGTCGATGTTGGACCTGTTTGATTTGGCGGGTGTTTACGTTTGTTTGGTTTTTTTTTACGTGGCGCATTATCGGAGATCGATGATTCATGGACATTCCTTAATTTGAGCCTCTAGCGGCCGTATAAATATAGGCTTCCCGTCGACTTGTAGTTTTTGTTTAATTGTTGCCGATTTTCTAACCGGTTTACAATATATTTAGATAAATGTACCTGTATGCGAAGGTAAAGAGTTTTCTTAAAACTGTCAATACCTAATCACCGTTCGATGTACAACAAATGTCAATTGGGCATGACGTGTACGATTTTTTTTATTTCGAGAATGTAAGTGATCATAGCTTTAATGAGAAAAATATAATTGGTGGTACGGTCGATTAAACTGCAAAGTGTAATTACAAGATTGAAGAAAAAGTAGCTAAATTTATAATAAAGTGTACTGTATGCACTTGTGACACGACCGATTAATTTATCAACAGAGCCAAAGTTCAGGGATAATGAAAAAATGTTATATTGTGTTTCGGAGTCTACTGAGCGTTAGTCATGTTGTAAATAAAATTTCTGCATTCAACGAAAGTATGTATTTCTTTTTTCTAGCGACAAAGTAAGACCTTGGGGGGGGGGAAAGAGCTAGGAATTTTCATCCTCTGACGAAACTTTTTCAATCGCAAACCATCGCGTTCGATTGCCCGTTGCGTGTTTTTTGTTTCGCACCAAAAATAAAAACAATTTTTACACTCGGTGATACTTTTTTTTTTTTTTTTTTTTTTTTTTTTTTTTTTTTTTTTTTTTTTTTTTTTTT